CTCCTTCTCTGCCCTTAAGAGCAAGAGCCAGCTGTCCCTCCAGATGCACCTGCCCCACCCTACATGGGATTTCCTCTCACCTGCAGGGGGTCTGGTCTGGTCTGGTCTGGTCTTCAGTCTGGGTTGGGATTCAATGGTGTCCAGCCCTGTACAGAGTGGCCCTCTTATAGCCGCCTGCCCCACCCCAACTCTCAGGGTCCTGGAGTTCAGTGAACCCAGCTCTGGGGTCACCTTACCTGCATTAGCACTTATCTGGTACCAGGAGGCAGCTAAACCCATATGCCCGCACTCTACCTCCACCCTCATTCCTGATGCCAGGTCACGGGCTTGGCTCCAGCACGTCCCAGCTCCCTGGTGGCATCTAGGAAGGGTGTGACCAGGTACTAGCCTTGAGGGGCAGGAGCAGGAGTCAAGGATGGATTGTGCCCTGGGTCCTCCACTGTGGCCACTTTTCTTGCCCTCAGCCCCTCTCAGGGGTGGCCTAGACCTTATCCCGTGACTCTGAGCAGCTTGTGGGAACTTGTCAAGCTGAATCCCAGATGTGTCTTTGAGCCTGAACCCAACCCTAATATTGGGGTATGAATCTAAAGAGAAGGCTGTCCTAACTCCACCTACTAAATATATACTGGTTTTCACTTATTATACTTTTATTTCCATATCGTATGAATTTCTAACAAAAAAGACTGAACATTATCTAATGGGACATTTTATTTACTCTACAAGAAGTCTTAAAGAGCCCTAGCTACTCAGTGGATAGCGTTTTGGCCAGCAGACCAAAGGGTCCCGAGTTTGATTCCAGTTAAGGGAATGTACTTTGGTCACAGGCTCCTCCCCAGCCTGGGCCCTGATCGGGGCTCGTGTCTCTCTTGCATCCATGTTTCTCTCTGACTCTCCCCCCTCCCTTCCACTCTTTCTAAAAATCAATGAAAAAATATCCTTGTGTGAGGATTAACCACAACAAAAATATTAAAAATAAATTTAAAAAGTCTTGGACAATTGGTTCTCTTAGAATGATTACTGCTACTGTTCTTCTACACTATAGCTGTCTTCTGACTTATGTCACTTTTTCACATTGAAGTGCCTTTGAATGGCTTTCATTACAATGATGGTGAGATGAATTTCTTTGCATTTTCATCTTTGCTCATTGTATTCATTCCTGAAGTATCTACTGAGCATTGATTCTGAGCCAGAATCTGTTCTGGCCTCTGAGGGCACACATTCCACAAAACAGCAAAATTAAGTCACAAAGCCCCACATTCCAGTGGGTGGAGACCATGAGTAAGGAAATAAGAACTTCACATTGACAGGTTGTTTTTTACGTGGCAGTGAGTGCTATGG